TTTAAAACAGACGATAGTCTTTACCATAAATGACGACTACTCAGGCAAATTACATTGACGGGGCCATCCTCAGGGCAATTATCTTCCTTCAGTGAATGCATTATATAGTTACTATAGCTGATGGAGCAAACTTTGGCTACATTCCTTTCTCAAACAAGAGGCCCATTTTTCAAATCGCTCTGAGCATAGAGATGCTGATAAATTCATCATAAAGATACACTTCCTTTCGTGAATGAGTCTTCATGACGTTTTTCACTGATAAACGTGGATGATACATCTACCTCTACAAATGATAACAGTTATTAAGCAGTGATAAACAATGATACGGTGATTTCTCTGCTACCAACCAACAGATTGATGGTACGTCAGTGATTCGTAAGTCATTGCTACAGCGTATCAAAACTTATGTTATATGCCGTAATGCTGTTCAGTTTTCAAGCACTAAATGACTGCATCCATGCAACATACATAAAAGGCATCAGAACAAGCCCCGCCACCACTACATTCGGTTGCAAAGTCCCAATCAATCACTGTCAACGGCGAAACTCGATAACGGCCAACAAATAATGTCGTATTTAATTTTGAATATCTCCCAATATCTCAATAAAAACAAGTAATTCACTGAGATCACCAATTTAACAAATAGAATCAGAACTTCAATGGATTTAAATAAGTCAGATAAAACTGAAATATCGATTAATTTTGCAAATTTAACTTCTGTTTATAAAGTAGCATTCGTTTCAGATTTAATCGAAGAGCAACATTAAACCAAACTGACTGGATTGATAAACTGTTGATGAAAGTCTTGGTTTGACAGATCGTTTCCAAGCCACAGTTTCAGTTGAATATTATAAGCCACGGTAGTGCTAAAATGTATGATTATTGGTGGCAAGGTAACAACTGAAAAATGCGCTTATTAAACGGTACCCTCACATCATTGCTTTTTGATACTCCAACCCATGCAGAGAAAAATTATTGAGTTCTCTGAAACATTATTTTTTGAGATAAACAGCTTCATACTCTGTTCAAATGGTTATGGCATAATGAAAGGATTCCACTATATTCTCTTCCTAGATTAACGCTGAAAGTGGTCGCTTGTTCTTTCTTCACGGTTACAAAATAAATATATTGTTTCTACCAGATTAGCCTTCGAAGCATTAAACCACATGTTAAGCGGTGATTATCACTTTTCCTTTGAAGACCGTTTGGCGGTGATCACAGAATAAGCTACCTCAATGGTTAAAAGTAATAAGCTGCACAATATATCACTCTACAGCGAATGTTGATGCACGATTTGCAATTAATATTCTTAATCTAGTGCAGAAGAAATCGTTCTCAGCTGAGATTAGATCTTGACAACTTTTCAGCTTGAAGATGATCGTCCTTCCTGATTCAGATAGAAGCGACACGAAAAGTAGATAGAGCTTACAGCACCTTGATGATGATCGATGGGCGATCAATTCAAACGTTTGTCCGCTATGGAACAGTTGTATTTGTGACAAAATGGAACCCCTGATGTCATGGGAGAGCCTTCGATACCGCCGGTGAAATATGACATTAAAAATAATAATACCAAAAATGCAGTGCAAAAAAAGAAAAATCTATTTTTCACTTTACACCAGTAACTTCACTACACTGCCCCCCTGCTTCTACACGCTAGGGAAACCATTTTATATATCATGAAACCGTGGCCTGCTTAAATAGTCCCCCCCGGCTCCTATTATAAACTTCCCACGCTAGTGATAAAATACCAAGCGGACTGATCTGCCCAAGAGGATACCAGTCGATTATCATAGTCGATCACCTTCCTTCGGTGAGTTGAACTACATGCCCGGTCCATATTAAATTGTTGCTTCTGCCTTCAAGCAGGTCCTTCACTCCCGCCCGTTGCGGCATCGCCGTGTTGGGGATATGGCCGCGACGTGAAAATCCCTGATGTTTCTTTCCATGGCTCCATTGGTGGCAGATCGCCGCTGTTCCTCGACTCTAGTGAGTGACCACATCTCAAAGCCATTAAAACATTGCTTGCCGCCAGGACGGTAGAATTGAAAAGGGGGGCATGGATTTTTTTCCTGATGGTGTTTCCATTGATGGAATGGAGCGTACGCCAACCGGCCCTCTTTCTTCTTTTAATCGCTCCAGCCTGATCTTTTCCTCAAAGGTGCGGGTCGCCTTTGCCTCTACATGAGACTCACATTGGACATTGTTACTTTATCTCTGTGGATTCTACTTGCTGAGCTCGAACCCAGCCATATCCTGGTGATCTTAGCGTTGCCTGTCCACAACTGCTTATTTATAGCGGATAATGGCTATATCTTGAGGTCGTTCCTCTATCCGCAACCTGAGGACATGCCAGATGGCCAACAGCTAGGTACACTGTCAGGAAAATAATCAGATTTGATCCAATAATTTCCGTGTGACTTGATCTAAGCATATAGCGTACAAAGTGACACTACAACCAACATTGCCACTGCCCCCCTGACGAAACTGTTTTGAATAAGGTTCATCGACGCACCACAATATTTCCATTCTTCACACCACAGTCTCTTGCCGGGGCGTGCGAATGAGTGCATAGGCCATTTCTTTGCCAACATCATTAAAAGCTGCTTTATGAACCGCATAAAACTGGTCCGAAGCCAGAATTCGGGAATAATTTTAAGAGGGTACAAAAGAAGGCAAACGCAAGGTGGCGCGCATTAAGTTATTACATGCAAAACTACTCAATCGTCCGCCAATGAAAAGATTTTCCCTGAAGTGTAACAATCGAGTCGACGGAGGCAAATGCGAATGTCCCTGCTCACCGGTCGGTACGACAGAAAGACCGTGAAGCTTTCGTCGAGAAGTGGCCTTCTGAACAGAGCTAAATGTACTCTAATAATGAGGTAAACAAGTTAAGCAAATCCATTTCATTTATTGATGCCTGAGGCGTGGTATTACTCAGCGGCTTGTCAAGACAGACCGTCGTGTTATAATCAGGTTTACCTTCCTTTACATCCTTTTCTGACAAGTAATTCTTGGCGTATTGTTCGGGCTCGTCGTTTTCGGCTCTCTACAAAAAAAGCATGTACAACAAGGTTTAAATCATAGCACTTGAAGTATGCAGTATCTGTGGGTTTCATCGTTTACTTAGGGATGATCGATAACATTCATAATGCATGTAATTGACGATCTCCCGGCAGTCAGCAAGGCACTAGCTAGAGGTGCACGTGCATGAGTACCGGAGGTTTCACGATAACACAGAGATTGTCCATGTTTGTTGATTGGGCATAAGTACCGCACGAAAACCGATACCCCATTTGCTTGCGACCTAATGAGACACAGCTTCAGTGTGTCGATTATGAGACAGCTGCTGCTCGAGGGTACTGATCGAACGTGAGTCACGACAGAAGCTAAGCCGAGTGGACGACGAGAATGTTCGATGAACCTGCAAATCAAGATAAGCATTCTACTAAGGCGAAAATGGTCTGTAAACTGACTCGGTTGCATTTGGGAAGGATCGAAACGACATAGTTGCAGCAAATCAGTAAATGCAGGTATCAACGAGCAGCTCGTCTCGTTCAAGGACAACGCAATTTTGTCAAAAGTCACAATAGCCATTGATTACGGTGTTGGACAGCAACTATGAAATTAATTTTGACAAAACTCAATTGACGAAAAAATGGGACATAAAGCGGTCTGCTGACAGACAGTCATGAATTGCACAGACTGTCAACGGACAACGGACCGTTGTCTCCGAAAACAGCAGTTGTTATTGTTTAATGACTGCATGTGAACGACCGATCAAAGTCGTACATGCGATCAAAAGGAAAATGCACTGTTGTTTGATGACTCATGCTGAACGTTTCTTGATGCTCAACATGTTTCATGCTTAAATTCTGCGTCTATTATCGTTCGACCGTGACGACTGTCACTCGGACAAGTGATTGACGTAGCGGTCGATTATTTCTGAGGCAATGCTACACCGACGGACTCTCGTACATCGAGTCCGAACCACAGGATTTATGCAGCTCCATTTTCGGTTCTGGGCATTTGGCGGGCTGAACGAAAGGCGACCATTGCGCATGCCAGCCAGCGTTGATTCTACGACTCGCATTCCAGCGTTTACAACGCGGTTAACGAGTGGATGGTTAACCATTCAAAGCCCCACCATCTACACCGTGTATATAAAAAGCAAGCAATACGATTGGGGCCTGAGGCTCTTAAATTCGGTACCGTATAAATCTTAATCCTCAAAGCCCTTCGTCGGCGAGGCGGCTGATCTCCACGTCAGAAAATTCCGCTCACATTGCGATCAAGTCAAACGGTATATAGGACATATGCCATTGTCTCAATTGGAAAATTTTTTATTAATAATAAAAAACATCCGCAATCTCCAGAAGTTGCACGAACGGTCAAGAATAAAGAAAACGAAACTGAGTCAAAATTAACTTGCTCGTAGAAGAGATAAAACCCTTTCGTTTCGAGTTCACCGACATTCGTTCAGTGAATTATATATGATCAGATGCTTACCACGAGGACGACGACGATCAGTGCAACAGTGACCAGTGTGGTCCTAGCGATGAGCATGACTTTTCCGTCCCTAACGACTGAACTACCATCAAATATCTATCTGACGTCTGGTGGTGAGCGGCGACCAGTACTAAAGAGGTGGTGTCCACTGGCTGAGGCAAACGAGAATGCGGGAGTGTGGCAAACAAACCTCGACCTCGACGGCAGCGACGACGACTACGGTGGTGGCGACGTGCTCGGAGACGACTGAGAGAAGAAGGCGGAAGCACAGCC